TTCAGGTCTGTCCCATGTGGCCCGCAATAAGGTTGGAACTTAGGTACAAAAAAAAAACCAAATTAATTTAATTCCACCCCTTATAGCGCCCTCCCTGAGAAACATCTTTAAATCCTCTTTCCAGTTTTGGACACTACTCCGTCCTAGCTTTCACCTTATGTGTTAAGATCCCATTCAGGTCTGCCCCATGTGGCCCCCAATAAGGTTGGAACTTAGGTAAAAAAAAAACAAAATTAATTAAATTCCACCCCTTACAGCGCCCTCCCTGAGAAACAACTTGAAATCTTCTTTCCAGTTTTGGACACTACTCCGTCCTAGCTTTCACCTTATGTGTTAAGATCCCATTCAGGTCTGCCCCATGTGGCCGCCAATAAGGTTGCAACTTAAAGTACAAAAGAAAAATTCATTAAATTCCACCCCTTACAGCGCCCTCCCTGAGAAACAACTTGAAATCTTCTTTACAGTTTTGGACACTACTCCGTCCTAGCTTTCACCTTATGTGTTAATAAGGTTGGAACTTAGGTACAAAAAAAAAAAAAAACAAAATTAATTTAATTCCACCCCTTATAGCGCCCTCCCTGAGAAACATCTTTAAATCCTCTTTCCAGTTTTGGACACTACTCCGTCCTAGCTTTCACCTTATGTGTTAAGATCCCATTCAGGTCTGCCCCATGTGGCCCCCAATAAGGTTGGAACTTAGGTAAAAAAAAAAACTAAATTAATTAAATTCCACCCCTTACAGCGCCCTCCCTGAGAAACAACTTGAAATCTTCTTTCCAGTTTTGGACACTACTCCGTCCTAGCTTTCACCTTATGTGTTAAGATCCGATTCAGGTCTGTCCCATGTGGCCCCCAATAAGGTTGGAACTTAGGTAAAAAAAAAAAACAAAATTCATTAAATTCCACCCCTTACAGCGCCCTCCCTGAGAAACAACTTGAAATCCTCTTTCCAGTTTTGGACACTACTCTGTCCTAGCTTTCACCTTATGTGTTAAGATCCCATTCAGGTCTGCCCCATGTGGCCCCCAATAAGGTTGGAACTTAGGTACAAAAAAAAACAAAATTAATTTAATTCCACCCCTTATAGCGCCCTCCCTGAGAAACATCTTTAAATCCTCTTTCCAGTTTTGGACACTACTCCGTCCTAGCTTTCACCTTATGTGTTAAGATCCCATTCAGGTCTGCCCCATGTGGCCCCCAATAAGGTTGGAACTTAGGTAAAAAAAAAAAACAAAATTAATTAAATTCCACCCCTTATAGCGCCCTCCCTGAGAAACAACTTGAAATCCTCATTCCAGTTTTGGACACTACACTGCTCTAGCTTTCACCTTATGTGTTAGAATCCCGTTCAGGTCTGTCCTAGGTGGCCCACAACACGTTTAGAACTTAAAGTTCAAAAAAATTTAGAAATAATTTCCATTATAGCGTCCGCCCTGGGAAACAACTTAAAATCCCCTCTCCAGATTTGGGAACTTCTCCATACTAGCTCCCACCATGTGTGTCAGAGTCCCATTCAGGTCTGTCCTAGGGGCCCGAAATACGTTTGGGATGGTTTATAACTTACACACTTCTAGTGAATTTTGTTTAGTTATTTTAACTAAAAAATATGAAAAAAATTAAATCAATTTATTTTCTTTTTAATATGTAAAAAAAAAATAATTTTGTTTTTTTATTTTTTTTATTAAATTTAACGTGTGGAATGTGTGGAACGTATTTTAACAGCATGTGGAATGTATTTAACAGAGGTGTGGAACGTATATATTCGACATATTTATCTTCACACCGTCCACTTAAACGTCCGTAACTCACCTCTAATCACTAGTATTATGATAAAATTTGGCACAAATAAGTTTTATATGAATTAAAATCACACCCTAGAATTTTATGAGGATAGGTCCATATTTGACCCTAGTCGCCATATAACTCCAGTTTTTTATTTTTATCTATAAATTTCTTAAACATGTATATAGGTCGGCCATGTCCGACTGCACTTTCCTACTCCTTTTGATTTGTTGAAGTGTGTGTATGCATATATTTCTAAAATATATATTTTATAACCTAAAAATCAGGAGCAAAATCTGTCACATACGATATGTCACGTTCGATATTTAAATATGTTCATTATAAAATTATATTAATTTCTTTTTTAAGAAATTAAAACAAAAAAAAAAAACACCTACAGAATTCGCAGATTTTCGTAAATATTTACATATACTTTAAAAACACTTCCGTTTTTTGTCACGTATGATAGCGCCATATTTTAATCCATATTTTGGAAAACAAGTTTCCGAATGGGATGATTCCTTTTGCAAATATAGTATTCTTTAAATGGAACAGAATTACAAAATTGTTTTCCAAGTACTCCTAATTTTACAAAATCTATACCCCTCTGAAGGCGTGCGAATGTCACATACAATCGTATGGAATTTCCCATATGTACATTAGGGTTTTGACTTTTTTGCAATTTTTGCAAATATCAAAAATACCATAGAAAGAGCTTGTAGGGCGTGAACAGATGTTAAGGAATATGATATTATTTTTCTCGATCGTGGAAAAGTTCCCGCTCCAAAGGCGACGAAGTTTTGTATAAATTTTACTTTTTCTATAAGAGAAAAATAAATATTTAAGATAATGTAATACATATCTCTTTAAGATATGTATTACATTATCTTAAAGAGAACATTGTTCTTTAAATCCTTTTTATGGAAATTTTAACTAATCGCGATAATCGCATGTTATAGAAAATAGTATACTAAAATTATTAAAAATTAGGTAGCATTAGATAGACCAAATCGACGAACAAAACAGAATAAATCAAATAAAAACAATGAGAAAGCTAAATTACAGAGAAGAAGATGTTGTACCCTCTTTCCAAATCTTTACACACCCGTCCTTGCTAATTCGGTGCGGGAAGTATTTTCACCGAATTGACTTAAAAACAAGTATGAATGTATAGTCGGGCGTAGTCGACCTAATATTACCTTGATTCCGATTTATTTAACCAATTTATTGACGAAAAACTAATTTTCTTAAAGAGGCTTTATATGGGGGATAGGAGCAAATGTGGACCGACCCCGATAAAATGGGCTGGATAGATTTGTATTTATATAATATTTGTCTGTGCTAAATTTTATTGCAATAACAGTGTTAATAAATGAATTACGGATATTCAAGTCACTTTCTGAAGGGGGCTTTGTATGGGGTCAAATGAAGTCCGATCATTTCGAAATTCGGCGAGGTAATCAAGGCTTGTATAAAACTTAGTTGTGTGAACTTTCATCGAGATACATAAATAAACGACTAAGAAAGTGATTTTGAGTCGATCAGTATACTTTAAGGTGGGTATAGTGATAATATTTTAATACGTTACAACCATTAGCACCAACGCATAATATCCATCCCACTATAGTTGTGTAGGGTATACAAAATATTTATTTAAATTCCAAATCATGTTTGTTTTCTTACACCCGATTCTTCTCTACCCGCTCACTAGGGTGTTCCGTGGACCACTTTTTAGGAGGAATACCTCTAAAACGATGCGTTTCAATGTACAAAATACGAGAAAAATAAAAAACAATTTTTTTGAAATAGTCCTCAGTACAATATGTTCAAAAAATGCAATCTTTTCGATATTCCGTAAATTTCAAAAAATTCTAAAAAATTCTGAAATGGACTAAATTAAATGCCAAACTATTTTTTAAATATTTTTCTGTATGAGCTAAAAATAACGATAATTTTGACACGCTTTTCGATAAAAAGCGAAAATAATATGCCCACAAAAAAATATTCTACAAAAATTTAAAAATTATTTTTCCCGTAATCAGCTCAAAATCACCGAAATTTTGAGACCCATTTCGAGGAAGTCGAAAATATTTTATTTTTTAAAAATTATACTAAGGTCAGGATTTTCAATCGCTGATAGGGAACTGAGGACCATTCCAAAAAAAATATTTTCGCAAACATGCGAAAAAATCATCGTGCGAATGGTGAGATACAAATTGTTATAAAAGCCATTTTTCATTAAAAATAAATAAAAAGTTTATTATATTACACCGTGCAACAGTCATTTTCACACATGAAAAAAATCTATGTGCAGAGGAAAGTGTGTATTAGTATTAACTCTGTGTACGCAGTTTTTCATAATCTGCTCTTATGCCCCTGTAAAAGGACCTAAAAGTTTAAAGGACATACGATTTTAAAAGATGGAGTTCTAAATTTATATTAAAAACTTGATACTAATATTAATATAAAATTAAGCTGAGAACCTCTGCTTCAAAATAATATTATTTATTTCAATTCATCAGGATTACAAAAGAAATGAAATCTTAAAGAAAATTTGTAAAAAGTATACCAATCGGTTGGGCTGGCTGTCCCAAGGACGAAGCTTATTGATAATGGTTAAAATCGGTCCATTATTCCACCTAGCCCCCATACAACAGAACCCTCCGAAAAGCGCTTCTGAGCTCATAATTAGTTTAATATATATGTATATCGATAAAAAGCGGCACAACTAAGTTTTATACAAGCCTCGATAACCTTTACAAATTTCATAGAGATCGGGCCTCATTACAAAGTCCCCTTCAGAAAATTACTTGAATGTCCAAAATTAAGTTATAAACACAAATATCGCGATGAAATTCAGCACAAATAAATATTATATAAATATACATATTCACAAAATTTTATCGGGCTTAGTCCATATTTGGCCCTAGCCCCATGTAAAGCCTTTTTCAGAAAATTAGTTTTTCATCAATAAATTGCTTAAATGTATCGGAACAAGGTAATATAAGATAAATGCTTTGTTATGAAAATTAAATCACATATAATATTTATAACTGGTGTAGGGTATCATATGGTCGGTCACGCCCGACTATACTTTCTTACTTGTTGATATGTGAAAGCTTTTTTCAAAATTGTAGGGTGTTATAATATAACAATAATTATTAATTGAATATCTTTTAGTTTATTATATTAAATAATTTTATATCGTATTTTTACAGCGTAGCAGGCGCCATGGGCATTGTATTTCCATATTTAGGAGAATTTCAGCCGACCAAATACCGGGAGAAGATTTTATGTTGGATGGAATTATTTTGGACATTTGGAATTATAATTTTGCCAGGTTAGTAAAAAATTTCTATACATAATGCACACTGGTTTCTCCCATAGGCCAAAAATCAAAAAAAATTAGTGTTTTTTTGTAAGCTTTATTGCACTAAATTTATTGACAACACTCTAAATTTTACGATTCTAACAAATTTTTTTGTTTTTTCGGGATTAAATATTTGCGTCCGTTGAAAGTGGAGGTATTTTTATATTGTATATAATGTGGTCGCATAGTCCTAGAAAAAAACTTAAGATTAATTAGAAAATTGTTCTTGTTATTGCGACAAAGGTCTCCAAAAACCCAACAAAATTTTAACTTGTTAGAATTTAAGCCTATTAAAAACTAAAAAAAATTATCGAAGCAATTTGCTTCGAGGGAGAATAAAAAATGGTTTGAATGTCTTGAAACTATTCAGCTAGAAGCAAAATCTCTTGGAAAAGAACTACCTGCACCTAGTCAAAAGCGTGGTCGTCCTGCTAATGAATTTTTCAAGTCTTCAGAAAGAACAAAGAGGCGTAAAATATCTAAAATTACGCAAGGTGATAATTCTTTAACCTTTCTTTCTTTTCTTTTCTTTCTTTCTGTTCTTTTTACAAAAACACAATTATCACATGACATACAATGTGGAAATTTTACGAGGTTTTGGCTCTTTTCGTTGAAACAAGACTTACTAAGCAATAATACTTAACTATAAAAGGTTTTGTGAATAAAAAATATCGAATTATTTTTTTCCAAGCTATAAATGTATCTTAACGGCTAAGATAACCTGTTATCCAAGCACAGAAAACACTACAGTTACAGAGTCAAGTGGAGAGGTCGATCTGATGAACTGATGAAGCATTAGAAGAAAATGGGGATTCGATGGCAGTTCTGGCCATAGCCAATTCAAGCAGGGAACTGTCATCCATAAGCCTATTTATGGATGACAGTTCCCTCTTTGTGACATCCTATGTTCCGCTTCGGCTTGTCACGGAAAACAAAACTTTAATTTGGAAAAACCCGCGCCCGTCATCCTCTCGATATTGCAGGCCTTTGAGGTTTCAATTTAAAAAAGAAACTTCTCAACTGTGTAAAAATGAGGAACGTTATTTTAAATCGAAAATTGTTGCACTTTCTCCCACCGAGAAATAAGGATATAAAACAGTTTAGATTGCAACATGCAAATAGGCTCCGCTTGTCCATATAAGGGAAATCACTGTGTTAGTCCCATAGGATAGTTTAGAGTTTAAACTTTAGACTTAATTTTTCAACAAGATCGGTCAAGAACAGTGGGTCAAAATTTGACATTTTTGAAAACCATACGTTTTTTTTTTTCATTTATGTAACTTATTACTACCTATTGTTCATAGCAAAATTAAAAAGAAATTATACATATTATGCGTAAATTGACCTTTCCGGCATGCAAAATAAATTTCATAAAAAAGAGAATTTTTGCATGCTTTGACAAAAACAAATCAAAAACAGCATTGCTTTGCGTTACGCAAGTTAAGTATTTTGTTCTTTTTTGTGTTTTGTTTGTTGTTGTTTTCATATTTTGTTTTATTGCTAAAGTAATGGTAGATAGAGTAGGGAAAAATAAAATAAATATAAATTTTATAAAATTAAACTATGTATGGTGAAGGGTATAAGTATAAGATTCGGCAAAGGCGAATAGAAAACTCTTACTTGTTAAACATAAACATAAGCTGCTGAAGAAGAATTTAAATAATTATTTTTAGTTTGAAGAAACATGTAATTCGGACATCTTAATTTACTTTGAACACATACATACATATTTACATGAACAGATTAAAGAAAATATATAGATACATGTGATTTTAAAATAATAATCATGTATATTAAAGATTTTTTATTAAAGTGTTAATTAAATTGGTACCTGAAATTAAGCAAATATTATTTCTACATTATTTCTATATTTATTATTTCTATATTTCTTTTTCTACATGCAAGCCATGTTTATGGCCTCGGGATTAAAACGGTCGATAATTAATAAAATCAATAAATAAAATAATTTCGGAAAGATTTTTATTTAACATCATTCAAAATACATTAAAAGTAATCTAAATTGTTTAAAAATCTTAATACTTCTTACAAACACATATTTATCAAAATTAATAACTCAAAAAGGTGTTAATTTTTTATGTGACATATGAATACATAATCACCAAAAGTGATAAACATTCAATCAGCTGATTTAAAATAATATTAATATGAACTTAATAAAACTAATTTAAGAAATGTTTGGTTATTTGCCAAATTTAAAACAGGTAAAATACTTATGTTGAGACCCAAAATCGATCGCGACCAGTCGGTCACTTTAATGAAATAAATAATCATCAAAATTATAAAATAGTATAAACTGAAAAAAAAATTTCAACTACAAGTAATGAATAATGTTTGTAGGGGAGTATTTATGGGATTATTTTAGTGGATCATGATCTCCAGTCTTTTGCGACATTGAATGCGGACTTGCGTCAAATGAGGTCAAATCATTACCAAAGTCGCCAGTATGATTTAGGTTTGGTATTATATTTAACATAATTAGTCCGGCTGTCTGGGTTCAAGTGAATAAATGTATCGATTTCAGAAAATTTCTATAGTCTTCGTTTATAGTACAATTAAATTTCATATATCAAATATTGTTAAATTACACTATTTTGGGGGGGTTATAATTTACTTGGCAAATTGAAAGCATGACATTAGTGTATTCAAACTCCGGAAGCATTTTTCGCTGCTAGTTCAAATTTTTATGCAATCGCTTATTGAAAGTTCTTAGTGTGTTAACGGGATTTTTAACTATAATTAATAGAATTTTTTTGAGGTATCATATGAAAGCACCTTCGAGGGACTTTAATTCCGAAATTTGAGCGGTTTCCAAGTAAAAGCATATTTTTTTGGAAAATCGAAGAAATGGCTACATTAAATTTTTTTCTTGATTTATGTGAAAACTTCAAATTATATTGTTTTAAACAAATTTTTTGGTTTTTTGTAAATTTTTTAATGGTACATGTGCCAAGTATTGAAAAATCTTATTCTTGAGTTAAAAAATAATTTTTTGATCCCACTCGCATCCCTAAGCGACTATAAAGCCCTTAAAGAAAATTATATAAACTTCCTTTTGAGCAAAAAAAGGTCCCATTTTGAAAAAACAAGTAAGAAATTATAGTCGGACGAGGCCGACCATATAATACCCTACACCTGTTACAAAAAAGAAATGTGATTTAGTTTTCATAATAAAGCATTTAAATTGAGTTGTACCTTGCCTTGAGTTATACTTAAGCTATTTATTGTTGAAAAATATTGTGGACATTTAAGTAAAATTTTGAAGGGGGCTTTAAATAGGGGCTAATGTCAAATGAGACCCTATAATTATAAAATTCATGAGGGTCACCAAGGCTCGTAGCGAACTTGATTTTGCAGCTTTTTGTCGAAATACGAGTATATTTATATTTTCAATAGGCTTTGTCTCCGATACCATAGAAGATCATGTGCCAAATTTCATTCAATTATCTTCTAAATTACCTGTAGTTTGATTACAAGGTTTACAAGCCCTATTCAGGGGTTCAGTTGTATGGGGGCTAGGTGAAATAATGGACCGATCTTAACCATTTTCAATAGGCTTCGTACCTGGGATAATTGAATTATCTATTATTATTGCGACCTGTAGTTTGATTACAAGGTTTACATGGATGGACGGATAGACAGACAGACAGACAGACAGACAGACAGACAGACATACAGACATAGCTAAATCGACTCAGAAAATTTATATATTACATAAAAATATTACACAGGCCAACAATGAAAAAACTTTTTAAATAATAAATAAATAAAAATAATAAATGCAAAACCCTTCAGACGGCAGATTCAAAACTCCAGTTTCAAACTTTTACCAATTTTGTTAAGCAAATTTTAAAATTTTGGGAAAATATCCATGTGACTTATGGATAACGTGACCAGATGTTTTTGGAATAAAAAAAAAATTTTGGGAAAATATCCATGTGACTTATGGATAACGTGACCAGATGTTTTTGGAATAAAAGCGGGATCCGAGTGATTAAAAAGCGGGATTTAAATGAAAATATATTGAAAAAGCGGGATTTTGAAAATTGTCATTCATTAAATCTGGATTTAATAAAACTTAATATCAAACCAAGTAAAAACATTATACTCGACTAAGACGTACATATGTACATATATCGATATTAATATTAATTTTTAGAAACAAAATATTTTTGTCCAACTTTTTAACAATGAATATATATGAGCGGTCAATTGAGGTCAATTATAAAATTCGGTAGAGAGATTTTGGCTTGTAAGAAACTTACTTCTGTATATCGAATTTCATAGCTAAACTCGCATTTTTAAGCCAGTAATGTGCGTTCAAGGCATTTTCTGATGGGGCCTTATATGAGGGGTAGGGTCAATTATGGACCGATTCTCATAAAATTAGGTAGATAGATTTGTGCTCGTAAGAATCTTACGTATGTCTAATTTCAGCGCTGTACTCTTATTTTTAAGCCAGTAGTGAGCGTTAAAGTCATTTTTTGAAGGGGCCTTATATGGGGAGTAGAGTCAATTGTGGACCGATCCTCATAAAATTTGGTAGATTTTAACTCATAAGAAACTTACTTATATTGAATTTCTGCGCTAGACTCGTATTTTTAAGCGAGTAATGGGCGTTAAAGTCATTTTTTGGAGGGGACAATATATGAGGGGTAGGGTCATTTATGGACCCATACTCATAAAATGTTATTTTTTTCACTTGTATGGGGGCTATGCGAAAACGTGGACCGATATTCCCCATTTTCAATACCAAACAAACCTTACCTATAAGAAATATTTGTGGAAAATTTAAACTCTCTAGCTCTTTCCGTCCGTGCTTTCAACAGACAGACGGACGGACAGACATGGCTAAATCGTCTTAGAATTTAATAAGGACCCTGAATATACTTTTGATGGTGACAATAAAAACCTGATATGATAAAAAAATTATAATGCCAGATTCAAATTTTAAGTAGCAATCCTTCATTTCGATTTATAAAAATTTTTGTTGGGCTGTGTTATTAAAAAATCTGTATAAAATAAACTTTTTATACAGCATTTTTCATGTGTTCCTCGCGAATTCTGCCTAAAATCTAGGAAACATAGTTTTGTTGACCTGTGTTATTAAAAAATCAGTATAAATTAAACTTTTTATACAGCATTTTTCATGTGTTTCTCGAGAATTCTGCCTAAAATCTAGGAAAAATAGTGTATAAGAAAAATTCGATAAAATCACTCTGAAATATTAGTTAAAAATAAAACAAATCAGAATGGGACCACAAATAGAACTAATTAAGCCCTACACCACCATAGTGGGGAGAGTATTATACGTTACGAGTATTATACCTTAAAGTATACCGATCGACTCAGTATCACTTTCTGAGTCGATTAAGCCATGTCCGTTCGTCCGGCTGGATGGCTGTCCATATAAACCTTGTGCGCAAGGTACGGGACGCAAATTTCAAAATATTTTGATGATGGGCTTTTAAGTTCATAATTATGTTAAATATTGTAGTATATCTACAAAAAACGGCAAAAATTAGTTCTATATACGTCTTAATAATACTACCGATTTCCGTAATTATCGGACTTTATTTGACCCTAGCCGCCATACAAAGTCCCTTCTGAAAATTACTTGAATGTCCAAAACTAACTTATAAACACAAATATCACGATGAAATTCAGCACAAATGAATATTGTATAAATATAAAAATATTCACAAAATTTTATTGGGCTTGGTCCATATTTGCCTCTAGCCCCCATATAAAGCCTCTTTCAGAAAGTTTGTTTTTCATCCATAAATTGTTTAAATGTATCAGAACAAGTTAATATTGAAGATAATATATTATGAAAAATAAATCACATTTAATATTCATAACTGGTGCAGGTATAACATGGGGTATTGTTTTTCTCCATATTGTTAAATATTAGTGCGTCCTGATAGATCAGATACACATTCACTTTAAGTGAGAATAAATTCAATTTTCCAGCTTTATAAGTTAAAAGTCATGGGTCCAAAAAGCCAATGTTCACTTGTCACTTAAAAAATAATCTTTTTAGACCATTAACTTTAAAAATCAACTTTGTTATTTAAAAAGTGGATGTCTACTTTTACCCACATTTTGAAAAATTATTAAAAAATACTAGAATATTTTTTTAATCTCTTTGTCTTTTCAATAACTAAAAGTTGTTACTAATTTTCACAAAAATATTTGAAATATATATTGAAATACAAAAACAATTTCTGATAATTTGTAAAAATTTTTTGTTAATGAACAGACATTCTATTTTCTAACAAAATTTCTTAATTTAAAGTTTAATTTTTAAACTTTTAATTAGTAAATCCCAAATTGATTACAATAAAATTAAGGACAATTGACCTGTTAAAAGCGGGATTCGTAGCAAAAAGCGGGATTGAAGTTTAAGTCGGGATTAAGCTTTAAAAAGCTGGATAATGTCTGGTCACGTTACTTATGGATAATGTCTGGTCACGTTACTTATGGACAATAAGAAAGGGAATAAAATAGTTATGAAATTAGGTCGATATCTCTCACATATTAGTCGTAACTGCGAATTGAATTCTGAGGATTTCGGAGAAAACTATTTTTTGTTAAAATTTTTGGAAAACAGGTTTTATTCTTTACTGTTATCCATTTTATATAAAACTTTTTTAGATAATATTACACATACATATGTATATCTATTTTTAGTAAAATCGAATAATGTTAACCCATAAACTGTGAAGGTCAAACTCAAGCTATGCAATATTGAGAAATCCTCTTGAAACCATAGGGAAATATTTTGTTGTCTACCGATTTAAATAAAACTTAGGATAAATAAATAATGAAGAAACGTATTTATAATGACACCGAAAAATTCAAATTAACCTTTAAACGTCAATATATTTTTATAATTATATAAAATATCCGTAATATATGAACAAAATATTCAAATTGGCGAGAAAACTGTGGGTGATAGAAAACAACCATACATCATATTCGGTTTTAGCAGCTTAAACTACATTAAAACCAGTCAAATTGATTTCAAAAGTTTTCACAAACCTTCATTTCGTTGGCCTGTGTTATTATTGTAATTGATACAATTTATTTAAAACAAAATGTTATCAAACAATTTCGTATGGTATTTCCAATTAAATTTACAAATAAAATTTGTTAAATAATTATTAAAAATAAATTCTAGCGCCTGGACTCCAACATTTTTAAATTTTGTTGGGCTGTGTATTTATTTACTTTAAAATTTAATCCGTTGAATACAAAACAAATAAAAGTATTCGAACCCGGTTTTAAAGTAAAAAAAAACCGAGTTATTTGTTATTCGAAAAAAAAAAACCGACAGTAGTAGAACAGAAAGTAACGGTTTTAAAACCGGCTGAAAAACTGAGTAGATCACCCTTGCTTATTTAGACGAGTGTAGAGCATGTGGAAACGACAGCGCAACTCTGGAGCACTTTCTTTGTTATTGTCATGCTCTCGTCGAAATTAGATCCAAATATCTAGTGAGTAATATTATTCCTGATATAACTGCCCTACGAACACTTATTGGGAAAATCTTAGGAATTGTGTCCAGGAAATTGAGTCTCTGAATGTTCTTCATTCATCACTATACATATAAGGTTTTGTTTTTACCAACAAACATTTTCCATGAAAGGAGCGCACCACAGAACCGATAGGGGCTAGGTGTGTGTTGACCGGTATTTTTGGACGTTGAATTATTTTCACCCAGATACTTTCCCCTTAAGCCAACATTTTTTTTAATTACACAAATTCTTCTATTTTATGTTCTTTTTTATTTTTTCACACAATTTAAATTAAATTTCTCTGTTTTACACAAAGACAGAAATGTTCATTGTAATTTCAACTTAATTTCAATGAAATTAAACAAAATGACTTGATTTCAAATTAACAAAGTGTATAGGAAATTACATAATTTAGAATAGATTTCGTTCGAAATTACTTAATTAATTAAAAAGACTTTAATAGTCTGTTTAATTAATTAAGTAATTTAAATATTTGTTAATGATAAAACTTCATTGAAGTCATACAAGTTGTCATTCGTATTCACTAATTTATGTATTTTTTAGGAATCGCGTGGTTGGTCATACCTGTAGTAATTCATTTGGAATCGGATGTATTCTTCTATCATAGTTGGAACCTATTTGTTGCAATTTGTGCAATTCCCAGGTTAGTACAAATACTAGGTGGCGCACAGTAATCATACAGTTTGCTAAAATTTACATATTATATATTTGTAAAAATATATCATCCGATTTTTAAGAGCAAAGTACAATGATTAATTTGTCAACCATGTAATAAAATATCTCAAAAAATATAAAATTACTAATTTATATTATAGTTTGTTACTTGGTTGTTGGTTATTTGCTTTTCCCGAGAGTCCAAAATTTTTACTAGAACATGGTGAAACTGAAAAGGCACTTAAAATTCTTGTATATATGTTTACTAAAAATACTGGACGAAACCCAGAAGAATATCCGGTAAGGAAAATAAATCTTATAACTACATATTTTATTTTCTTATAAATTCATTGACTTTTTTCTTGTAGTGCAAGAGCTTAATTGCTCCTAGTAGAACTTCAGAAAAAATAGGTGAGAAAAGCGTACGAAATTTAAGGCTACGTAAGCCCGAAGAACTTAAGTTATTGCTGGCGGAAATTTGGTCGCAAACCAAAACACTATGCAAGAAACCTCATCTAAGAAATACATCATTAACATGTGCCATTCAATTTTGTCTGACAACGAGGTTAGTAGCTCCCTGCGATTTTATGTGTGTGAGTCATTGAAGTCATACAAATTTCCATTCGTATTCTATTCCCTTTTTTACATCTACAGTTACTACACATTAATGGTATGGTTTCCAGAATTATTTCAAAGATTTGATGACTATGAAAAGTTAAATCCCGGCGTATCAGCATCTGTATGTGATGTATCATCAATAGTTGTATCAAATTCGTAAGTATATAATATAAATACATACAAACATACATACATACATACATATGTATGTACATACATTAGAGGGGTCCAAAAAATATTGATTTTGCTCAGATGGGTTTTATTTTGTTCCTTAGTTTCTATAACTAACTGGTGTAACATTTTAGCCAAATCGGATAACGGGAACCCGATAAAAAATTGTGCCATCTAAGCAATATCGATATAAAACTAAACGAAAGAAATGAACCAAATGAATTTATCATTAATAACTCCCTCATATAGTATATCGGTATCAACAAAAATAAAAATCATATTAATAACGTAGATCTGTATTGGTTCACAATTGGACATAGCTGTCATATAAAGCCCACTTCCGAAAATCACTGAAAAGGTTATATGTTATTGATAAATAAAGTTAATTCGACTTGAATATCTTTTGTGTATTTATAGTTTTATTTAGTGAAATTTTTTTTCTTATCAGTCCACAATTTGTCATACATCCATTTATGTAAGTTTCACTTCCGAAAATCACTTAAACGCACAAACATATTTCATTGAAAAATAAATCTATCTATAAAATTCGACATGAATATGTTTTGTGTATACATCAAACAATCTACAAAACTTTTTCGGGTTCGGCTCGTTTTTGGCTGTAGCTCCCATATAATGGTCACTTCCGGAAATCACTTAGACTCACATATTTCATTAATTAATAAATCTATCTAGATAAAATTAGACTGGAATATGTTTTATACATATATAAATCATTCTGCGAAATTTTTTCCGGATCAATCCCAGCAAAAACTTACATTGAAAAGTAAGCGGCTTAAATGCTATAATTTACTTACACAATAGAATTTTATATCATTATTTTACTACGGGAATGACCTTGGAGACAAGGACTTACCACGATGATACTTCCGCTGCGTCTATTATTAGTTTTTCCAAAAAAAAATCGTTTGTGTTAAAAACAAAGCTCAAAAACAATATGCCAAGACTAAAAAGTAAGTACTTACATAAAATATTATTTTTTAGTCAATACTTGAATCATTCTAAGTAATGCAGACGATATGTAGTAGTCATTGAAAAAAAGTCGTTGAGTAAGTACAAGTCATGTTTTTGCTGTGTTGTAAAAGCTCTCATATAAGGACTACTTCCGAAAGTTACTTAAACGCCAAAAAAGTTAGTGAACGAAAAAAGCGAAAAGGGAACATATTTCGCGTGAAATATTAATAGGCGATAGGGGTGATTATTTAATTTCATATAATTTTCAAAACTTAAATAAAATTTATTTCCTCAGTATGAACTATAAATCCGGTCCTAAAACATACCTTTCTATAAATTGACAAAAACTTTTTTGAGAAAAAAGCCTGTAGAACATTTATTAACCTTCCTATAACCGCTCCAAAAACTATGACACCAATACCCGCGTCGGTCTGTGGGACTGACTTTTGTATAGCACTTTAAAAGCTTAATCGAAATGTTTTCGCTTAATTATAGACAATAATTAGTATTTACGCTCAAAAGTACTAATTTTGTCCGTTTTTCACCCATTTTACCGTCATTTGCAGATAATTGAAAAACAATATAGCCAATAACACCCTCCAAGTAAAGATCTAACTATTTTCCAGATTTTAAGACATTCGCTACAGCCGTTTAGGAGAGAGACAAGGAGATTTATAATATACATATATTAGAATTTAAAATATGATGTCTTTATATGGGAGCTTGGGTCAAATGAGGACAGGAATTACGGAAATCAGCAGTATTATTTAAGCTAATGTGCATATATAAAATTCCAACAATAAACCATGAATTTCTTTATTAAAGCTGACTACACACCATAATATTCAGTAAAACGACATGTCAAAATTTTCAAATAAAACTAAAAATTACACAGTGATACAGCAAAAAAATGCAGGGGTTCTCATATACCAATTCCATTTCGTTATAGTCCATAGAGTAGGAATATATTTTTAATTTTTCCCGATCACTTCGTTTAGTTCCTTTTTAAGAGCAAAAGATGTGAAAAAGAGCTATTTTTGAAGTTTTAACTTTAAAAAAATATATTTATGGTAGTTTGCAACCGATTTTCAAATTGGATATTTTGTTTTAAAGATACAAGTGTTGTCTTTCAACCCAAAAAAATAAATCCAAAATTTATGATTAATGTCTTGGTTACGGCTATTTAAGTAAAAAAACTCACACTTTTTTCACAATTTTTAATTTTCATACTGCTCTACGTTGGCCATTACATTTGAAAAAAGGCACATTAAGTTGGGTTTCCAATGATGGTCAATTTATGATAATCGATGAAAAAGGTTATGAGTTGTGCTAAGTTTTATAAAAATATAGCGTATTTCTTCCATACAAAAACGTTCATGTTTCTGGTTTTCTTTGTAACAAGTTTAAAAAATGTTTATAAACATTTTTATACAAAAATTAATTTGTATGGAGAAAACCAAAAATTCGAGGAACATGCTATTAGAAAAATTGGCATAAATCATCCAGTTTTTCATAGATTTTTATGAAATAACAAGTTTTAGAAACCTTCCTTTATGTGATTCTTCAGGAAAGTAATAAAAAATGAACTCACTGCCTCATGGTCAAAGTAGAGCATGATGAAAATGAAAATTTTTTAAAAAAGTGTGAGTTTTTTTACTTAAACGACCGTAACTCAGACATTTGACCATACATTTTGGATTTCTTTTTTTGGATTAAAAGGCAACACTTGTATCATTAAAAAAAATATCGGATTTGAAAATCGGATGAAAACTACTAAACTTATGATTTTTCAAATTTAAAACTTCAAAAATGGCTCTTTTTCGCATCTTTTGCTCTTAAAAAGTAAGTTAACGAAGTGATAGGGGAAAACTAAAAATATATTCGTACTCTATGGACTATAACGAAATAGAATTGGTATATGTGAACGCCTGCATTTTATTTTTCTTCACTTTTGTATCACAGTGTTATTATTATGTAGATACAAAGTGCAATAAAACAGTCGTATGATTTTTTAATTTTTTTTTTTTTGAAAAATTTTAAATCGATTGGATTTTTTCGTTTTATCAGAGTTTTATTTTTATTTAAACACAGCAAAAATACAAACAAAATCCACTTTAAAATAAAAATTTATGTTTTTTCTTTCAATTTTTTCGAATTGTAGTTTTATTTTAAATGTGATAGTGTAGAAATAAAAAATATTTTCTATTTGATTTTTTGATAATCATACCAATTTTCATTTTATTTTGTTTTGGCAGTATGAAATAAAAATCTAACGACTTCTCTTATAGCATAAGCGTTTATGATTACGAGGATACATTTTTAATGCTATTCGGAAAATAATACTATGATTTTAACACCGATGCCGAAATTTACTTCTAAAATTGGAGTAGAAAACAATCGAAGTAAAATGTGTACTCTTGTGTTTCATCAAATTGAAATACTACTAATAAAATTCAATTTTTCCATTTCCGAAAAAATACGTTCAAAGTAGTTTAAGTTTGTGTCTATTATGTATTTGTATATTGTATATGATATTGTATTATGAAACGAATTCTAGTTACTGATATTAGTTTACTTGCTATTTTTAATAAAAAATTCACTTAATAAAAACAATTTTTTAAAATTATTTTGTTAGTATTTTTTAAAAAATACACTCTTTTCATGCATTTTGAATCTTATTGAGACTCCGGGAATTCTCGCCTAGAAAAAAATATATATAGTTAGATACAAATATAAAGGCAATCAAAATTAAATAGGAAACAAGTAGGAAAATATAGTCGGGCATGCCCGACCATATGATACCATACACCATCAGTATATTTTTTATTTGTATTAAAGTAATTTATTGATGGAAAACAAATTTTCTAAAAGTGGATTTTATGGAAGTCAGAGACAAATATGGGCCACCCTCAAAAAAATTCGGAACAGGAATGTATATTTATAAAAATTTAGTTATGCTGAATTTCATCACGATACTAATGGTTATAAGTAAATTTTTTTGTCATTTACGTTTATGTCAAACTTAGTTGTGCCAATTTTTGGAGTGATATATGAATATGAAATCCTTATCTACTGTTTACTGTTTTCTGACAAAATTATTTTTTTTTTTATATTTTTGAAACATGTATGAATATAAAATCCTTGAATTATTTAGTTTTTATATAAATTTGTACATTTATTTATTTATTAATTAATAAAAATATTTTTTAAAAATCTAGCCAAAATTTGCGCTCAATTAACCGGGAAAATCGATTATACAGAATGCCACCGGTCCCGATCATCACGGAAAATCGAGGTCCCACTGTATATTTGACGAAGTTATGATCTTAAAATCGATTGAACGATGGAACGATTTTAACAACTTTTAATAAGCTACGTCCTTGTGCCGAAAAACACGTATGGTTAAAATTTTATCAAAATATCTTACAAATTGCGGCCTGCTCAAGATTTACATGGACAGCCAGCAGGGCGGAGGGACATATCTTAATCGACTCAGAAAGTGATTCTGAGTTGATCAGTATACTTTAAAGTGTAGGACCAATATTTTGTGTGTTACAAACATCAGTATTAACGCATAATAGCTCCCCACTATATTGGTGTAGGGTATAATTGGTTAAGAGACACAATTTTTTAATTTATTTTATGTACAAGCCTAAAACATTTCTATCGGAATGGTTGTAGCCTATTGAAAATGGTTAATATCGGTCCATTATTTCAACAAGCCCCTAAGCAAACGCTGTTGAATAAAGCTTTTAGGATTGGTTCATATTTTACCCTAATTCTTACTTTTTATTACACTATTAAATATGAAAAAAATGCAATTTTATTACAGGACGTTTGTGACATGTGACGCTGGAGTAGAGGAAAAGGTATTTCTGCATACAATTATTATTGGTTTAGCCTGTATACCAACCAGCTTTTGGTTACCTCTCTGTGTACATCGATTGGGCATTAAATTCTTCTTAGGTAAGATAAGCAATATTATATGTAATAATTTTGTTTTACTAAGTTTAACACATTTCATATTTCAGTGTTTAGTTTAACAGCGGCAGGAGTAGTTACAATAGGTCTGTATTTTGTGAGAACATCTCTAGAAAATCTGATACTTTCCTGCATTTTTGAAGCCCTTACATCTTTAAGTATAAGCACGGTCTATTGTGTAATGGTGGACCTGTTCCCTACGAATTTAAGGTTTGTGCCTAAAAAGTTTTAAACAATTTTATAAGACGTCACAACATACAACTCATTGAAAGTCTAAGGTTCTGTTTCTGGATAGAATGCGAGCACTTTGAGTTAAATTATTTTTATATTTTGTTATTGTAACAAAAACAAGATTTCTAAGCCTCATATAAGGCTTAGAAGCTTAAATCCAATATAGCCCGATGCTCATAAAATTTGACAAAATGATTTTAAATCTCATAAAACTAGTTCATGATGAATTTTATCGCTATACTGGTATTTTTAAGCCAGTTTTGGCCGTTAATGTCATTCCATGATAGGGGATAAGGTCAATTACTGACCGATCATCAACAAATTTGACAGTTAGAATATTTGGGAGATCCTCTTAATATTTGGGAGAGAGATTTTAGTTTCTATAAAACATGTTTCTGCAAATTTCGTATATACATATATTGGCATTTTGAAGCAAATTATGAACATTAAAGTAATTTTCTGAGAGGAACCTTATATGGGGGGTGGGGTCAATTATGAGCCGATCTCCATAAAATTTGGCAGAGAGATATTTGTTCCCCGAAAACTTGTTTACGTCGAATTTCGTTGCTTTACTATGGTTTTGTAGCAAATTAAGAGCGTTATAATCAATTTATGACGGGATTTTATATCGGGGGTAAGGACAATTATAAACCGATCCTCATAAAAATTGGCAGAGAGATTTTAGTTCCTCTAAAACTTGTTTATGTTGACTTTCGTTGATTTACTGATATTTTGAAGAAAGTTGTGAGCTTTTAAGTAATTTTCTGAGGGAAAACTTTTATGGGAAGTAGGGTCAATTATGGGCCGATCTCCATAAAATATGGGACATATATTTTAGTTCGCCTAAAACTTATTTACGTCGAATTTCGTTGCTTTACTATTATTTTGAAGCAAGCGTTATAGTCATTTTCTGAAGGGGACCTTATATAGGGGCTTGGGTCAATTATGAACCTATCATCATAAAATATGGTAAAGAGATTTATTTTCCGATAAAATTTGTTTATGTTGACTTTCGTTGATTTACTGATATTTTGAAGCAAGTCATGAGCTTTAAAGTAATTTTCTGAGAGGAACCTTATATGGGGGTATTGGTAGGGAGATTTTGGTTCATATAAAACCTCTTTATGTGGACTGTTTACACTGTTTTTCGGGGGGCCACTTGTATGGGGGCTATGCGAAAACATGGACCAACATTGACCATTTTCAATACCAAACAAACCTTACCTGTAGAAAATATTTGTGTACAATTTTAACCCTCTAGCTGTTTCCGTTCGGACTCTACAGACGGGCATGGCTAGATCGTCTTAGAATTTAATAAGGGCCCAGAATATATATACGTTTGTATATAATTATCTTGTATGGGGGCTAGGTGAAATAATGACCTATCCTAATCATTTTCAATAGGCTTCGTTCCTGGGACAATAGAAGGTCATGAACCAATTTCATTGAATTATCTTCAAAATTGCGACCTGTAGTTTTATTACAATTTTTACATGGACGGACGGGCATAGCTAAATCGACTCAGAAACTGATTCTAAGCCGATTGGTATACTTTGGGTATAGGACCAATATTATTATGCGTTACAAACATCAGCACAAACCCAATATACCATCCCCACTAAAGTGGTGTAGGGTATAAAAACAATAAAAAAGGTTAAATGAAGCAAAAATGGACCAAAGACGACAAATATAAATCTGAGTTATCTTCTGAAAGCACCGGAGACGTTTTGCAATCTGGTTTGTAAATAGAAACAGAAACAAGTTAGATTGCTATATTCGGCTGAGCCGAATCTTAAATACCCTCCACAAGCTACTTTTATATTTATACTTTTCTAATTGATCAAATATTTGCAGAAGTAAGTTTTCTCATGTCTTAAATAGAAAAATCCCAAGATTTAAACAACCTAAATCTATTACAATTCCAAGATTTATTGAACAATACAAAAGCCATTTTTTTATATTTTTATAGCGCTTAGCAATATTTAGTAATTTGCATGTGTGTGAAAGATTTAAGGATTTTCAAAATACATATATATAATTTTGTTCTACATAAAGTTAGTTAAATACTGTTTTCTGAAGGGAACCTTGTATGGGACCGACCGCACCCTTGTTATGAACCGATCGTGAAAAAATCTTGAAATAGAATTTTTATATACAAAAATAATATTTTTGCCAAATTTTGTATCAATAGCTTTATTTGGTAATAAGTAATGTGTGTTTAAGAGATTTTCGTAAAAGGACCTTGTATGGGAGCTATGACCAATTATGGACCGATCGGAAAAGACTTTCACATTAATATTTCTGTGCATATCGGTAATACTTGTACCAAATTTATATGGATATATTAATTTAGTAATAAGTTATGCGCGTTTAAGTGATTTTCGGGAGGGGACCTTGTATGGGAGCTATGACCAATTATGGAAAGATCGGAAGAAAATTTCACAGTAATATTTCTGTGCCTATAAGCAATACTTGTACCAATTTTTATATGATTATCTTAATTTAGTAATGAGTTATGCGCGTTTAAGTGATTTTCGGGAGGGGACCTTGTATGGGAACTATGTCCAATTATCTTTCCTTTGTATGAATTCTATTGACATAAGATTATAATTTTTGAAATTTTGTGAAGACATCGACATTGTGAAGGAAGTTATTAACAAAAAACCCATTTTGCGGGAATATGTACTTTTGTATGGGAAGTATATGAAATTGTGGACCGATTCTGGCAATTTTCAGCAGGGATCAAGCTCTTGTGTAGAAACGAATGTATCATGATTTTCATGGAATTACCTTGCGTAGTTTTCGAGAAAATTACATCACAATGTGTAAAAAATGCTTATTTTTTTCGAGGTTGTTATAAATTTTGATTCATAACTTTTCCCGGTGTGAACCGATTTTGCCCATTTGCAATACCAAACATCTTAGGAAAATGAAGAACATTTTGGGTGAATTTGGTTAAACTCTATTGCTTCATTTTATCGTGAGCGTGTTTTACACGGACAGATCGACTCAGAATTTGATATATATACTTTGTTGGGTCTCAGATGAATATTTCTTGGTGTTACACACGGAATGACAAAGTTATATATACCCTGATGGTGGTGGAGGGTATAAAAATCGTTCACAATTAGTAGAATATATGTATTTACAATTGCATAAATGTAATTGCAAAATTACACGAGATCATGAATTGGGCTAATATTTCTTTTCGAATGCAATGCATTACTGAACAATTGATATTATTAACCACTTATATAAAAATAAGTTTTATTTAAATATAATTTATGCATATAAAAGCTAAAAAGTTAAAAAGCTAAAAAGCCGCTGGAAATTTGGCACATGATCTTCTATGGCACGAAGACGAAGCCTATTGAAAATGGTTAATATCGGCCCATTATTACACCTAGCCCCCATACAACTGAACCCGACGAATAGGGCCTTTAAGTTCATAATTATGTTTAATATACTCGTATCTCGACAAAAAGCTGCATAACCAAGTTCTATACTAGCCTTGAAGACCCTCATGAATTTTATAATTATAGGGTCTCATTTGACCATAGCCCCTATACAAAAGCCTCTTCAAAATTTTACTTAAATGTACACAATTTTATTCAACAATAAATGGCTTAAGTATATCTGAGGCAAGGTACAATTCAACTTAAATGCTTCATTATGAAATCCCATTTTATTTTTATACCCTCCACCACCATCAGTGGTGATAGAGGGTATATATAACTTTGTCATTCCGTGTGTAACACCAAGAAATATTCATCTGAGACCCAACAAATTATATATATTCTTGGACCTTATGAAATTCTGAGTCGATTTAGCTATGTCCGTCCGTCCGTCTGTCTGTCTGTCTGTCTGTATAAAACATTCTCACGTTAACACGAAGCAATAAAAATTACCGAAATTCACCCAAAATATTTATTATTGTCCTAGACAGTTTGGTATTGAAAATGAGCAAAATCGGTTCACACCGGGAAAAGTTATGAATCAAAATTTGAAACAACCTCGAAAAAAATAAGCTTTTTTTACACATTCTCATGTAATTTTCTCGAAAACTATGAAAGATAATTCCATGAAAATCAGCACACATTCGTTTCTACACAAGAGCTTGACTTCTGCTGCCAGAATTGCCAGAATCGGTCCACAATTTCATATACCTCCCATACAAAAGTACATATTCCCGGAAAATGGGTTTTTTGTTAATAACTTCCGTCACAATGTCGAAATCTTTACAAAATTTTACAAATTAAAATCTTATGTCAATAGAATTCATTCAGAGAAAAAAATTTCTGGATCGGTCCATAATTGGACATAGCTCCCATACAAGGTCCTCTCCCGAAAATAACTTAAACGCAAATAATTCATTTCTAAATCAAGTTATCTATATAAAATTTGGTACAAGTATTGCCCTCACATACAGAAGTATTACTGTGAAATTTTTTTTCCATCGGTCCATAATTGGTCATAGCTCCCATTCAAGGTCCCCTCCCGAAAATCACTTAAACGCGCATAACTCATTACTAACATAAGACATCCATATAAAATTTGGTACAAGTATTACTCACATTACATATTACATACAGAAATATTACTGAAAAATTTTTTTTCCATCGGTCCATAATTGGTCATAGCTCCCATACGAGGTCCCCTCCCGAAAATCACTTAAACACACATAACTCATTACTAAATTAAAATATCCATATAAAGTTTGGTACAAGTATTGCTCATATGCACAGAAATATTATTGTGAATTTTTTTTCCGATCGGTCCATTATTGGTCATAGCTCCCATACAAGGTCCCATCCCTAAAATCACTTAAACGCGCATAACTTATTACAAAATTAAGATATCCATATAAAATTTGGTACATGTATTACTCTCACATACAGAAATATTACTGAAAAATTTTTTTTCTGATCGGTTCATGATTGGTCATAGCTCCCATACACGGTCCCCTCCCGAAAATCACT